CATGATATGGGCGGAATGTGAAGTAAATTAAGGAGCAAAGAGGTATGGGGCGCTGAGTGAAGTACATTTTGTTAGTGCTGCTCTTTGGTATGGGCTTGTGGAGTGGGGAATTGTTATTGCGTAAAGTAATGGAACAAAAAGAGAGAGAGAGAGAATGATTATGGGAAATTGCAACACATGTCCTGGAAAAGTTTGCCTCTTTTATATATGTAGGAAGTTGGAGCAAACTCTCAATTTATTAAGAGTATCGTATAAATAATAGAGAGCATCATCAAATTTAAAGAGTAAATATTTTATGCACTCCAAAGGTGCTCTCCATTTTAACTTTTTATTTTTTTAATTTTTTTATGAACATTTATTTATTTTTGCTCATCTGTTATTTAACATAATTTTTTATATGTTAATGATCAATTAATTTAAATGTGATTTGAATAATTTAAATTGTATATTATTGAAATTAGTAACTTATTAATGCAATCATTTTTAAATAAAAATAGATATAGAATTTGACTCTTCAAACTCGTTCTTTATTTTGAAAAAGTTGTAATAGAGAATCTCTCGAAACTTAATTTTAAACATTGACACTAAAATATAGCGTATTTTGTGTATAGAATTTTTTTTGGAGATATTCTTACTTTAGGTCAGCTTTTTTAAAAAGCTATTCTAGCTAAATAAAGCATTTTCTAAAATTATACAAACATTTTTAAAAACAACTTCTTAGTTCAAAAGTAATTTGACTTTTTTGAGGTGAGTTGAGTCGATTTTTTACCCAATCTAACATGATCGGCTCGATTTAAAATCAAACAAACCCAACCCATTTATGTATTTCAACCTAACCCAATCCAATCAAGTTTTCAGTTGGACTGGGTTGAGTTGGTCGGTTTGTACATTGAACATTATAAAGACATGCTCGACAATAAAAACCCATGAACTACAACACTTTGACCATGAACAAGAATTTGTAATCATGCACGAAGGAGAATGCACATATTATGAAAATTGTCATCTCACTTAAAGGGGGAAAAATGCCTGAAATCAAGCCGCAAATTTTTACATTATGACATCACATTTGCAAATGAATAATGAACTTAAAATTTAATTTGAGAGTATCAAAGGAATAAATGTTGGGGATTAGTGTCAAGCCTAGACGCAAATAGAGTTGGCGATGATCGATAGGCTTGAACGAGAGAGAATAAGAGAGGGTGGCTTTATCTTGAGGGCTAGAGAGAAAGATGAAGTATGAGAGAAATGATAAGACTTTATATAGGGTTGCAATGTTTCAACATTTTAATTTTTACATTTGTTTTTAATTTTTTTTCATTTTTTTAAGTAGCAGGTTGGATTGGATGAATTTTATCAGTCTTGATGGATCAACCCGTAACCCGACCCAAGCCATTTTCTTCTTAAAAAACAAAACTCGGCAAAACTCTAAGGAAAAACCAACCCAAATCGGTCCGTTCGGTCTGGGTTGGTTGGTTTTTGTGGGTTAGTTCGATTTTTGTCCATCCCTAATCAAATGGACCTCAAGTCATGGATCACAGGGAATGTATGATTAAAAGTATAAAAGGTTATGAATTAAAAAATATGTAATTAAAAATATTTTTTTGATGAACTTATAAGCACTATAAACTTTATCAAACGTGACGTAAATTTGCCTTTTCATGTTAATAGCCTACTAAAACCGGAATTAAATGCATTTAAAGATGGAAGGCTAAGGACAAAAATTCAAGAAAAAGATGTTGCGGAAAAAGTATAAATAGATTTAGATTGGAACTTGTATGGGGAGGGACGAATTTCGGGCTCTGGCATGGATTATAGCTCAAGGCCCATTTAGTATTCTTTTAATATGTAATAAAAATATGTGATATATATCCAAAGTTGTACGAAATAAAAAGATATGTAATTCATGAAAAAGAGGAATTGAACGGCTTTGGAAAAGCTTTTGCGCATAAATATCGCATATAAAGATGTAGGCATACCCCAAACTAATAAAATGTCAAATTAATATCAAGATTGAACGCGTAGTGGCACCATACTAATAAAATGTCCAATTAATATTAAGATCGAATGCGCAGTGACGGATGTAAATATTTTGAGTAAGTGGACACAATAAAACTTGCAAAAAATACAGATTTTCATTTATCTCGAACATCACCAAGTTTATCATCATTTTTATCTCCCAAATATTCCTTCTTAATATTGTGATCATCAAAGGAAAATGCATTTTTACATTTAAATTATTTTTCTATCACAATCAATTCAAGTGAAAAATATGAAAATCACAGTAATTTGAATGTTACATTATCAATTGCATTTCAACTTAAACAAAGATAAAAATCACAGTAAGAATCCATTACCTTAAAATCGTCAAAATACGATAAAAATTGGAGCACTTAAGTAGATTTCCAATTCCATTTCTTAAGAAAATACAAAAGAAACCATCAACAAAAAAAATAAAAATCTAAAGAATGAGTCAATTAACTATTCAAGAATGAATATTTTACATTCTTAAAAAATTAAGGGGAGTGTTCTCAATTGAGATTGCGATGAATTTTAAAAATCATTTTAAATTTAAGTGTCATCAATTGAAATTTTAATAAAATTCATTAAAATTAGGTGTTCCAATTGAGATTTTAATAAAATTCAATTAAGTCCTTTAAATTTTAGGTATCTTCAGTAACTAGTGAATTTATAAAAATTTTATTAATATGGAGATTTTAAAAGATTAGGATGAATTTCAAGCTTAAATATAATCTTTTAAAATTCTTGATGAGATTCTTATGAAATTTGGGAAATCTATTCAAATCCATAAAATCGTTGAGATTTATAATATTTTAAAATTCATCAAAATCTTAGTTGATGAGACTCTTGTAAAACTTCATCCAAAGCTTTCTAATCTTGGAAACAAAAATGAACACTAAACTACCATCAAATAGACCAAAAAAAAAATTGCAAAAAAATCTTCAACATACTGACAAATCAATCACTACAGCAATGATTAGCCATAACACTAAAAAGAACAAAAGATCACAAGATGATTAAATAAATGCATAGTCAACTTTGTGTGAGTGACTGAATAAGTAGCAAATTACAATTTAGTGAAGGGTTTTCAACGGAGAATCAATCAGAGCAGACAGTCGGTCAGTAGCAGTTGAATTGGAATGTCAAGAGGATAGTTTGGAATGGCAGGAGGCTGAATTCAGTGGCGGAAGTGAAGGATTTTGATTTTTCGGGCTCCGTTCTTCTGCTTCAAATCTGATTTTTGAAGTGGAAAAAAATAAAAAAAACTCAATTTTTAAATTGGTGGATCATGTGACCCACCAAGACCCACTGTGGATCCGTCACTGCAAACGTGTCTTAGTACTATAATAGAATACGACTCTCTAAAGAAATTTTGATACAATTTCTACTATATTAGATGAATTGCGTGATAAGACAAGTGGTCCTAGTTTCAAATACCAGTTGTAAAAGTAGTTTGTTAAGTTGAAGGTAAGGAAAAAGCTGACGTGACTAGAAGAAACTATGTATTTAAAGACATCATTTCTATTAATGTAGAAAGTCAATTTCGTGGATAAAATGTTACTTTCAAGATAAATGGTAAAAAATGGAAAAAAAAAATGAAATATCCAATTGAGGCTATTTTTTGTCTTTATATTCCCTAATCACTGACATGCATACAACCTTTCAATAGTCAAGTAAATTTTTTCTTCCTTCATATGGACAGAAGAATAAACTTACATTGCTCAATGGATATTGAAAATTCCGTTTTCAAACCATTCTTTTCTTTCCTTTTTCTATTCAGTTCCTTTTTATACAGGTTCTTTAAATTCATTTTCAATCACAGATTTTTCTAATAAAATAATTCTGAACATGGGTTCATAACTTTTTCCTATTTTTCAAACGCATGCTCTGAAAAAATAAATTTTCATGAAATCTATTCTCAAAATATCTACACCAAACATATCGTAAAGAACTCGAGACATTTTTATCCTTAGTTGGCCCCATGTAAAAATACAGATAAAATAATTGATTGACAATATATAACACTTTAGACGTGTTAGACGAAACACAATATATTTATAAATTCTAGCAAGCGACTCCCTTTATTAATCCTATTCAATTCAACATATGAACACAACCTTTAAATTAATCGTCGACACATTTTGCATATAGCCCTTGTTTGAGCCCCAATTTTTCATATATATATATATATATATATATATAAAAATCAATTTTCATGAAATCTATTCTCAAAATATCTATACCAAACATGTCGTAAAGAACTCGAGACATTTTTTTCTTTAGTTAGCCCCATGTAATACAGATAAAATAATTGATTGACAATATAAAACACTTTAGACGTGCTAGATGAAACACAATAAATTTATAAATTCTAGCAAGCGACTCCCTTTATTAATCCTATTCAATTCAACATATGAACACAACCTTAAAAATTAATCGTCAACGCATTTTGTATATAATCTTACTGGTAAATATGGATCCTACATGTACGATTAGTTTGTTGACTCTTTATTAATGGTCGCCTAAATGCTAGCAATGCATAAACTCCATCTTTATACTATAACTTGGTCAAAACTGATTTCCATTATATATATATATATATATATATTGTTTTCTTGTTTAAATATTTCAATTTGCAGTATCTCTTTCTTGAATCGTTAAGTGAAATTAAATTAAGATGCCATCTAGGTGTGAAGTCTTCTTGGAAATCCTTCTTGCAATCTTGATTCCACCATTGGGAGTCTTCTTTAGACATGGTTGCTGCAGTGTATGTTACAGTATCTTTCTTTTTTTCTTTTTCTCTTCATTTAAATTTCATCATCAACTCTTCTGAATCATTCGATAATGGATTGAATTGTTTATTAATCAATAGATTGAAATGTAAAGATTAACAACTTTTTCCTTCATTTATGTAATTGCAGTGCGAATTCTTCATTTGCTTGATACTGACGCTCTTAGGTTATGTTCCTGGAATTATTTATGCTGTATATGCCATCGTGGTTCGTGAGGCAAACCCTGATGATGAGTGGCGTCCTCTCAATGCCTAGTTTTATTATTATTATTATTATTTCTAAAGAAATATTATTACATTTTCTTTCGTAGAAACAAGTTATCATGCAATAATTTCAAACTATTTATGATTCAGTACATGAATTTACTCATGTTAACTTCGTTCAACAGACATTTTGTTTTGTCTTCATTACATTGATTTTTTATTTTTATTTTTTGTATAATCGTTTGAATAATTCCATAGGTATGGTGGAATTTATGTGTTTGTTGTGTCAAAAATCAATGAAAATCTGCCAAGTGTTTCTCTGTAAAAATTCTGTCAATTTTCTCTATACTTGTAACAAAACTGTAATCGTATGCCCTCGTTAGCTATTTTCAGCGAAATTTATTATGTGTGTATATATATAGTTTTTATTCTTCTCAAGTGGAAATGGTCTCTTTGAATGGATTATTCAATTTTCACTTTTAAGGCACAAACCAAGAAGGTTTTTTGATTAAGAGACACAGACTCTTCCTTTAAAAGGACATTTATTCGGCTTTATATAATAGACAACAAAAACATAACAACAGAATGATCGATCAATCAGATGGGTGACACCTAAGGTGATTTATGCAGTCTTTGGAAAATCATGTTACTCACATTTATGGATTATTTGAGAAAGGTATTTCAAATTTGTTGTAAAATCTAAATTTTTTATTTTTTAAAATGAACGTATAATGCATTTATGTTTTGTTCTTTCATCATTTTCTTGGACTCTACGCTCAAAGTTTGACACTGTCACGTGGTAAACTAGAAAGTAATAAACAATATTAAAGAAGAGCACGTTAAAATTCTCTTTAATATACTGTTCAAGATTGTATGTTAAGAGAGTGTTTGGTAGAGATTAAAATTTGATTTTTTAGTAGATTGTGATAGAAGTTTTTGAAATATGTCGTAGAAAAGTTGTGGGATCCATAAAAGATGTTAATATTGATAGTTTGAGTTTGACTCAAATTAAAATCAAATTTGAGTTTGACTCAAATTAAAATCAAATTTTACTCCAAACCAAATAAGTTCTAAGTATTTATTTACAATGTATTTGGTAGTTAGAACACATATGATTAGTACTGTAAATAGATCGGATATGGAGCGGATCTTTCCAGATTCGTTCCGATCTTTTAAGAAAAATTATCCTATCCAATCTGATCCGATCCGATCCGATAATCTAACGGATATTTGATTGTTAAATCCATATTTGATTTGCTATGTTATCTGATATTCGATCCGAATTTGGAAAAAAAAATATTTTTTCCACCATTTTTTCGGGTAATATAATTTTTTTTCCAAAAAATATTTTAACAATCTTGATGGGCTCACCTATTATACTAAAAGACCCAAATCAATTTTTTATCCAAATAATGCTTCTTTAATTCCTTTTTAAAGGGGACTCATCTTGAAATGTTTTAATAATCTTCCAATGTAAGATACTAACTTTTTAAAGGATACTTCTTACCAACATTTTAGTGATATTTCAATGTGGAATATTAGTCAATTGTCAATTCTAAGTGTTACTAGTTTATTTTATTATTTTCATTAAAAATCATAACCTCAACAAGATTATAATTACAAATAATATCAATTTAAACAATGTAAATTATTTTTGGACATATTAATTAATAGTTTTTGATGTTATAAAAAAAACTACTATAGTTATTTTTATTTTATTTTAATTAATAAAAAATTAAATTTCTTCAAATATTTCAATTAACAATATTATACTATTATCTAATATTATTTATTATTTGAAAATTATGTGTAAAGCATAATATAATTTTCAAAATGGAAAAAATTATGTTTACTAGATTATGAAATAATATATAAAATATATTATATTATTATAATAAATCGAACCGAATTATTATCGGATCGGATTGACCTATATCCATATTTACTCCATTTAGGTAATTAATTATCGGATTCGAATTTTAATCGGATTATAGGATTGAAACCCTAAATTCATCTTTCATTAATTTCATCGGATTCGGATTAAAATACAATCCATTGATAGCCCTACATCTGATACAATTGAACGCCAACGTTAGTGAATGTTGTTGCCGATTTATTTTACTAACCAAACAATTAAAGATCGCATTCTTAAAAATTTTTGACCTTTTTTGGTTAAAATTTAGTGTCTATTTGACCCTCATTCTCTAAATTTTTTTTTTCAAATTCATTTTTAATTATACATCTTTTAATAAAATAATTCTACATATAAATTTTAAAATTTTAATGAAACATTCTAAAAAATCATTATTACAAAATATACTCTCTCAAATAATAGGGCTCAAATGGAGCCTTAATAGTTGTGTAGCTTTGTTCATAAACACATTCTCTACCTATGAGCAAATAACCACATTAAGCCATCGAGGTATATTCCAGTGGTGCAAAGGATAGAAGTGAGGTAGTCTCAACCTTGTTGGCAGTCGCAGTATGACGGTTCGATTCCTGAGATATGGAATTTGATTCTTTGTGGACACCAGTGTACGGACAAGCTCTTGTTCCCTGACCTATTGGAGCACATTTTGGCGATTTACCTCATTCACAATGTTCCAGAGACGAGGCGGTGGGAACCCTCAAAGTTGAGGTTCAACCTTTTTTAAATAACCACATTGAGATCGCTCGCTCCTTGTGGACCAATGTGATGGAAGCACACTAAATGCCTATTTAATTCTTGTTAATTGAAAAAAAATGAGTTTTGCATAGTATTTTTAAGAGAATTTGTGACTAAAAAGTAGAAAAAAATTTGATATAAGAGTAGAATATTTTATTATGTGAATATGTGATTGAAAATGATCATATAGCAAACCATAATATAAATTAATGATTAACAAATAGGCTCTAATAAACGTGAGACCAAATATTTAATAGCATCTCCATTTCATGAATTAGTGAAAAAAGTAAAATTATATATACGATTTCAAATCTTTCACTTAATTACAATTTTTATTCTAATATTTCATTCGTTACAACAACGGCCCCAAAACTTTCAATTCATTGTAGTCGGAGGACAAATGGATGGATTCCTTTCATTTTTCCTCGTTAGTTGACCACAAAATAATAAAAACTTACTTAATTTGACCAATTAAAAGAATGAAATCGTCCATTCATCATTTCTAATTCCCTCCAAAAATTTATTGTTTCTTTCTCTCATTTTTGTGCCCTAATAATTAAATTCATGTCTCTTGTTAATAGTCATAAGATATGAGCGTTGCCATGAAAATGAATGTTTGTTGTTTGGTGCAAATGAATGCCTTGTGGAACTTGAACGCAGGTAGACGATATCTCACTTGCCCGCATAGTGAGAATATGGATTCATGCGAGATTCCAATGGCATACTTGTGAATTTTAGTGTCAATGGCCACTTTGAAAGGCTGCTTATTGGAACTTCATTCTTCCTCTTCTTATTTTTTAAATTTTGTCTTAACTCAATGAAAATTTAGTGTGTGTGTGTGTGTATGTATATATATATATATATATATAATGTCATATATGATCGAGAATTCATTAATGTGATTTGTCAAGTATCAAATTGACACCATATACGTTTTTGAGTTAATGTAAAGTCATTTTGTTTTGAGTTTGAACATTGATCATGTTTATATTCTTTTTTATTTTACTTTTTATTCAATTAATTATATAACAATTTTTTTCATTTATAAAAATCGACTTTAAACAGTAAAAAATAAACATTATATATGAAAAATGATTCCTCAACAAAATAATAAGGACCTGCTCGATAGTGATTATAAGAATTGATTTTTTGACAGTTAGAGAGAAAAGTAGATTCAACCTATGAAGTCAAAAATAATGGTTGAAATAGTGAAATAACGATTAAAAAATTGATTTTTTGATTGAAAAATTGCTACCAAATAGAGGCTAAATCGAGGTGGTCCATGCCAAAAAATAATAATGAAAATGGAAGTGCGAAATCGCACAAAGGCCATAGGTTATGGTTCATTTGCACCAATTTCCCAATTTATAAAGCATATATATAAGAATCTGGCGCCAGCTCACAGCAGATATTATTATTCCCAATTCAATCCGGCAATCCACATCCAACTCTCTCAATTTAGAGATCCAAACAGAGTAAAATCACAAAAAACAGAGAGAAAATTTGAAATCAGGAAAGATGACATCAAGATGCGCAATTCTCTGCGAAATCATACTCGCAATTTTCCTCCCTCCTCTCGGGGTTTGTCTCCGACATGGCTGCTGCACTGTAAGCTCCTATTATAGCTACATTCTGAAGTACATACGATTTGATTATTCCTTTTAATGATTCTGTCGCTGACTATATGTATTTTATTTTTATAGGTGGAGTTTTTCATATGCTTGCTGTTGACCATTTTAGGCTACATTCCTGGGATCATTTATGCTCTTTATGCAATCGTTTTCATTGATCACGATCGGTTCCGTGACGATTACTATCAACTTGCTTAGTACTGAATTGACAACTGTTCTCGATTTCCTCATACTTCACCATTGTTATTTGTGGCGGATGTGTAATTTTTACTATGTGATTGAATTATTATGGTGTAATTTAATTTCAAAACTGAGGTTTATACGTCGTGTTATCTTTATCTGTTCTGGTTGACTCTACAATTATGATTGTTTTTAGATTTGGATTTTATGGTAATTGTCTGTTCGAGTTTTGCCACTTTTGTTTAAGAAATTTCAGATGATTTCTGTTCTGGAGAATATAAAATTGTATCATTGATCTTGAGCCCTAGAGTTATGTGTTCCTTGTTTATAGCTCTAACTAGCAATTGACTCTGACTTCAATACATTAGCTGAAGCAATTATTTTGTTTCAAAGAAAAGATGTAGACTATTTTTAAGTGAAAAGGCTCTCTCTCTACTAGGTTAACTGATCAAAGGAAGAGAATTGATGACCTATTAATTTAGACCAAGTGCATGTATTGTAAGGAATTGTAAGCAATGCAATGCAGGGAAAACTAAGTGCATATGAAAATGTGTGCACGTGAATAGCTATGTTGATCACATCTTTTGTTACTTTCATTAGTCGTGATTGTTTTGATCTTAGAATTTTATGTTCAATTGGAGCCAAATTTCAGTCCTGTCTCTTTTGGTTTTGTGAGTCGGGTGGTTGACAAGCAAACTAAATGAAGAGTGTATAGGTCTTTTTAGCTATTACGGCAGCTGTAGCATCTACAGTGCGTACAGATAGCTCTCTGAAGACTTGCTACTGTAAGTTATCTACCTTATTTTAATGTGGATGCTTTTTAATCTCGTAACTCTTTTTTCCCTTTCATCAAGTCCCTGAGATTGGTGCATAAATATGTTACGCATGAATGCATTATAGAATGTAAGAATACTAATTGTTGTAAGTTGGTTTGATAGGAATAAGGTCTTGTTCATATGGAAGTGTTAACTTTTATTGCTAATCTTTTACGCCTTATCATTAAGATGAGCCTGGTTTGGTGAAAACAATCTCCTATGCACGTGGTGATTTCGTGTATGTAGTAAAGAGAGGTATTAATCGGTTTGGTCGTTTAAAATCAGAATCCTTAATTCATAAATGGTCAAGCATAAACTGTATATGCTCCGCAGGGATCCTTGGCTCTATTTAACCAATCTTATATTATTTAACGGATCTATATGTCTGGAGAGTGAATTGACCATATATCTTCATCAAAGAGTCTGAAATGTCTATTTGTGATAGAAAAAAATGAATCCATGCCTACAAGTTAATGAGTATTTAGGTGATCTTGGTGAGTTTGAAGAGGTTTCAAGATGAGTTTGATAGTTATGCGCCTAAGTCCTCTAGGTCTAACAATCTGGATCTCTATAAGGTTTCTTTACGGGAGCTATAGTTCTACTACACGGGAATATCAAATTAAGCAAGGCTGTTAAACGAGATGGTAACTGTTTTGGGCTATAGGAACTTGGAAATTTGGATTATGTGATTACTGGGAAGAGTAATCCTCAATTCTTGCAAACTGTACTCAGCTACTAGAACAAGGTGTCGATGTTTGGCACTAACACTGTATAATATATTAATTGTATGCTCTTAAAATCAACTATTAGCCCTATAGTAGCCGAGCCCTATAGTAGCTGCTGTTAAGTGTGGGAAAGGTGATTATATGAATGATCATTTGCATGTATGCCTTCCTCCCACTGCTTGCCCCCACCCTCCAGAATTTGTATTCATCTGGTTTGAATCTATTAAATAAGGAAGCCATTATTTACATCCACGTTTTATCTTATATTTTTAATCTTATGTAAATTTACTTAAAATGGACATATATAAAATTAAATAAAAATATATCACTCTAAATTCATCCACTAATATCTATTTTCATAAAATTTTCTTAGATATTTTTATATTCTTTTCGAATTTGTGTTTAACTAACATTTTAATAGTTAACAAATATCCTCTTCAATTAAAATCAAACTAAAAATTGTAAATCTAAACATTAAAAATTTAAAACCTCAACAATTTGGTCACTTGAACTTTAAAAACACTTGCAAATGGAGGCTTCAATGTCATTGCAAGTAATTTATTGGGTTCCCTTTTTTTTTTCTGCATTTTTTTTATTATTTTATTATTATTATTATTTTATTTTTTTTGCTTTCAAGAATCCACAACACGTGTATTGATACTAATTGTTTGACTTTCTTTGACTTTTAATGGTTAATTTTATGGGTTTGTTCTATATATACTTAATGCGAAAAGATGCAACACTGCACTACTACAGCCCTGACGATGAAAGTGAAAGGAAATCAAGAAGAGATACATGATCTCTGTGTTTTCGTTCCTGGTTTATTTGGGTTTCTGGGAACCCATAACAATTATGAGCATCATAATCAGGAAAGAAAAATGAATCATTATTTTAACTATAATCAGGAAAGAAAAAGAAAAAATTTATTTACAATAGTCATGGGAGAAAAATATAGTAACATATAATAAAACAACATTCGACATTAATTTAAGGTATCATCAAATAGATAGCCAATCAGTAGCAAATATAACATCGTGTCCTTTCCATGTAAGAAGAACATCTTCTTCCCTCTTTAGTTCCCAGCTTTAATAAGATGCGCACCTGTATAAAATGTTCTCTACGTAATAAAGAAGCAATTTTGTAGATTTTATTGGAACAGTACATATTGGACATCTTTCTTCAACAGGGTGTTATCTTTTTCTTTTATAATTTATTTATCCTTCGTTTAGGAGGCTGTATTAACTTGCATATAAATGTAGACCGATATTCCCAAAAAATGGTATCAATGAATCATCTACCATACGTTTTCAAAACTAGTCTTAAACTTTCATTTTTCCTAATGAATTCCTCAAGAAACGCATTTTGGAAGCTTATTTTTAGCCATGGAAACATATCTAAATGTATAAACAAAAACACTGATAATTTTGACTATATTAGAACTCAACGCTACATTCTGGATTAAATCTTAGAGAGAAGTTCACAAGTATTCATAAGATAATGCAGCATGATACATCAATGCAACAATCTTGAATTCCCTCATGAAGAGGAATTCCAAAAGGCATTTAAAATTGGGAAAAATACATTTTGAAATGATGAGAATTGGTAAAAGGTTGACGTTTTATTAAATGGAAATGAATAGTGTTTGTTTCTTCTTCTCTTTTTTTTTTTTCCTAATTTTGAAATTGTATTAGGAATAGATTTACACTGGGATGTGTTTATAAAATTTGTGTGGATATATAGTGTTCAAAATGAATGAATTTATAAGGACAATATTGAAATATGACGCGGATGAGAATAGTAATTTTTTAAAATTAATAAGGATAAATATAAAGTGAGATAGATATATAACTTTTGTGAATGTAAATAGCGATTCTATTGAATAAATTATTGTCAATTGTAGATTTGAGCCTATTTATTCTTGCGTCACTTGGCATCTATTCTAACAACTATCCCTACCTTTAAAAGGTCTATTTTGAAACTCATTTTTCTTGGAATTGCAGATGCAATGTGTTCATGCTTTACAATACATTCCGCTGAGGTTATAAATGAAGTTCTTAAATCATGTTTCCTGATCTTCTTGTGTTTTTCCTCCTCTCTACATTTGTACATACATTTTACATTTTCATCTACATTAGGGATATCTTGGACTGCAAGAGGCGAGTTCGATTGCTTCGAAAGTGAATATGGGTGAGTTTAGCCCACAAGTCATTTTCCTTGGTTAGCAATACTTTCAGCTTTGCAAGCACTTCGACCAATCTAGTGAGGAGGTCAAATATTAGAGTAGTTTCTGAGAGCGGACTAGTATATACACTCTTCTTGATAGATCCACTCTTCTTGGACAAACTTGAGATTTGCGATCCCAAGTAAGATCGATTTAGGATTATGGGATCCTTTTCTATTAGATAGGAAGGACTGCAGCACAAAATGTACTTCTAAATAATTGCTCCATAGATCCTATATTTATCTATATGAAGAAGAGATCATGTAACGAAGGGGATTCTTATTTATCCAAATAGTACTTAGAACGAGTAGGAAGAAATTAACGATACTTTTTAATTTTTAGAGTTGTTTTGCTCGATTTGTCTTTCAAGATTTTTGGTCTCTACTCGAACCCAATGAAAAAATAGGATTATACCTTATGGATTTGTTGAGAATCATTTTGATATAGATTATGGCCTATTAGAAATAGAAAGCGCTCTGGTGGGATCTTCACATGGAAAAAAAGATTGCAGTTATTTGATAATGATTGAGTGATATTGCTTATTCGGTCTGAATTGAGAAATCCCGTATATGTGATGCAAAATGGATTTTTCTATCTCTAATTGGAGATTTCTCTATGAAAAATACGAGTTGGAGTTTGAAGAAGGGGGGGGGGAGAAGGATTGACCCGCAACACATAGAGAAGGGTCTATTCAATCACATAATTTGGGCTCCTAGTAGGGCTGGATATGGTCTGGTTCACTTTAGTCGATTCTAAAGAGAAGCGAATCAAATTCAAAATTTCGAGTATTTAGAAAGTGAATCGTCGGACTCAAATTTGATTATTGAATCGTTTGGGTTTGATTTGGTTCTGTTCTCAGGTTCCGTACAATAATTACAATAATGCTACATTAATTTAACTAATGACATATTCAATTTTGGCTATTATAAAATAACATAGTCCAATCCCTATGTGAAATTTCGCAATTAAAACAAGTCACTTTTTAATTATTTCTAGATGATTAGGTCAACCAAGTCAATTTTATCCTAAGTTTAAATACCAAATTTTGTAAATCGAAAGTAGCAAATAACATTGGTATGATTATGGAGAAAACCCTTCTCAAAGGATCAAAAACACTGGACATTTTACCAATCAACATTCCACTATAAATGATGAGACTTACAGTATGATCCAGATCCGACTAATTCTTAGTCCCCTAACATTCTTTTTTTGTAGTCATCCATGATCCTACTGGACTACATACACTTTACATCAGATCCTGACTCTTGGTATATCACCTTGGCCCTCCTGGATAGCATGCTCCTCACACCAGCTCCCGATCCCTGTGAACAAATTTAGAACGGTCTAACACCACTTCAAATTTTAGAATTACCGAGTTTACGTTCTAGATTACCAATTTGTTCAACCTTACGTGTGGAATTATACTCAGCAACACATCCCTTTAATTAGTTTCTAGATGGTTAAATATACAATTGAATTTAATCATATGTTTAAATGTCGTAGTTATAATATTGTGAAAAGCAATAAACAACACAAGATATGATGATGGAGAAATCCCAACATGGGTAAAACCTTGGGATCAAGCCAATTACCTCCACTATAGACAATTCAGAGCATACAATGACAAGCCTATCCTTGTACCCATTAAGACTCGTAGCCACAGCCTTACGATTTACTGCCGTAGACATCTCTAGCACAAGAACTCCTGATCGACCTCTTGCAGCCTCCTATTACCATAAATTCCTTTAGCCTCTTGCTAAACCTCCAGGTCTACCTCCTGTAGCCTAATCTGCTGTTTCTCATAGCCTCCTGGTCTGTACTGAATATCTCTCAAAAGTGGACAACCAAGAATTGTCCCTTTTTGTGCTTGTAACTACTGCTTCAATCCACCTCTCTCAATCCGTCAATGAAAGAGTATATTCCTTAAAAGATTAAGAAAGACAGATGTTTTGAATTATCGAACCTTTGATGTTTTCCCAATATGTGGTTGTTGGATCTGAAGAATAAATAAAATGAATCAACGCTCAGGCATGCTCTTGGATCTTCTAAAAGATGATAAAAATATGTTTTCTAAGAGAGGCACAATGAACAACCACACAAAAGTTCGTGCTAGGGCTTAGTTCTTTGTATTTGAAAGTGTTTTTGGTGTATGGGCCAAGTAAAACACTTAAAAATGCGAACTAGGGATTTTGTAGCATAAGAATGTCGCTCAAGCAAGGATCTAGCGACAATTGAGTGAGGGCCATTCTGTTTTTTTCGCTCGAGCGAAAAGCTAGCGGGAATCGAAGGACAGTTGAATAATTGTCAGTGTTTTTACCATAACTTTCTCTCTGGATGTCCGATTGAGGTGATTTAAGTTGTGTTGGAAAGATAACTCAAAGAAATACAATTATTTTAGAGATAGAATTGTCCAAATTCTAATATTTTCTATGTGAAAAATGCATTTCAAGTTACGACTGAGAATTTGGAACATAACTTGTGCGGCTTTTTGATATCTTTTAGACTTCTAATTGCATTTCGATGGTCATATGTGATCTTTTTGGACATCTTGGAATCCTTCAATGACTCGAACACTAATTTACCTCATCTATTTAAAATTACAACTAAATCTTTGACTTATACAAGTGACAATTTAGTTCCTTTTTGTTAACAGAATTGCCAATTACAATATTGGACTTAACAATCTCCCCCTTTGGCATTCTGTGATAAAACTATACAAATTTCAGTCAAGGGATTATAATCAATCAAAAATCTAAACTACCCAGTATTCCAAAATATTATGTCTTGCATTCCTTTTTGAATCTGTTTCGTGAAATTCAAAAACTCACATACCCATCTTAAAAACAAGTGATACAGGAAATAAAAATTAAAGCACATAAACACAAACACATCAACATGCTATTTTGAGACGTGATATTGATGCTAATCAAAACACCACCAATTGAAACATCAATATCATTAAACATCAAAGCTCAAACAGCAATTAACATGATATGGAATGCAATGTAATACTCCCCCTTACTACAAACTCTCATAAATCTTATGCAGTAGCAAAATGTATCTATATCTCTCCCCAACAACCTCTATAGGACATAGCAATGTAAAATGCAGGTAAGTATCAAACAGTGAAATCATGTGCATACAAATGCAGTCGCTCTATTTTACATGTTTTTCTCCCCTCAGTTATATCATTTCTCTCCCCATTTTTGTCACAAATGTTGAAGGGAATCCTATCATGAACAGTCTGAGTAATAACATATAATAACTAAAAAGTGCAGTTGATAACATGCAAAAACAACATTAACAAGTAGCGTACCTCCTCACATCCTCAGTACAGATTGAAATGGAGTAAAAAGTACAAGTGACTCATGTGTGTAAAGTGTCATTATTCCAATGCAAGTAGGACTCCAAACTTTAATTTTGTGAAAAGTGGACATACCAATAACTATCAATAAATATATTCCTCTACTTATGAAAGTCAAACCATGAAAGTACAGTAGAACTTATACTTATTATTTTTATTTTTCTTTCCATTACTTTAAGCATTAATATTTTTCAAAGTTTCCATATTTTTCAGCTCATCACATTTTTCATATTTTTTTTTTACATTTTTCTCATTTATTAATTTTTTTTATCTTAATTGCAGGTTCTTCTACATTAGGCGACTAAGATAACCCCTAAGCGAGCTTTAGGTCGATTAACCCAAGTCAATTAGGCACCAAGTTTTAAGAGACCCATCAGGCTTAATTGCTCAAGAAAAGTAGGCTAAGAAGAAGAGCATTAAGATATGAGCTTATTTTAATGGGGGAATAATTTTCAGGTTTAGGTATACTAAATATTGGTCAATTCATTTTCGAAGTCACCCTATTAACATGTGACAGTCATCCCAAATCTCATACACGCGGACCCACTAACAAATTCATAGTGGATGCGGTGCAGATGGTACATGAAGACACTTATACCAATTAATCCAAACGGACCTAAACAAGTAATGAAAATTATTCTACAGCTTATCAATTTCAGCTCATGCATGATCACAACCAACAAGTTTAAGAAATATATGTCATGATGTAGCAATTTTCATAACAAACTATTTTTGTCTTTTCCATTTTTTTTTTCTTTTTCGAACATGAATGCATCACACAATAAGAAAAATATCAAGCACACAAAAATAAAAATAGAATATGCATGCGCCAATATAGACATATGAGAATGCACATGCATGAACCACAAAGATAGCAAATGAAAGTAAACATATACAAGTGATGCATGCAATCAGCATGTGACAATTAAGAATAGACATACATAAAAAACTACCTAATCAATTAGGTATATAAGTGCTCTTTCCCTTAAGAGCACCTGATCCACTTCCAGATTTTGCAGATCACTCTTTTTCACCCAAACATGTCTAGTGGGATAACAATTCCCAGACAGTTGTGTCACCAACTTCGTCAAACGATTCATTTATTCAGTAAGAAATCCAATCCGACCAACAGAGACCTGATTTTTGTTTCCATTTAAGTGCATTTTTCTATTTTTGTTTAGGTACTGATGACATCTAGGGCGAATGTGACCTAACTCTCCATAATGAAAACATGTCGGATAAACCTAGGACTTGTGTTATGTGAACGCAAACGTTTATTCCTAGGTCGATAGATCCTACGCTGTGTGGTAGACCTCTGTCCTTCGGATCTCTCAACATTAGGTTTGGGGATAGGCACATGTTTAGGCTGGTCAGAAGCAAGGATAAATGTGGTCTTAGACGTGCTAGCAATATCATCAAATTTACCCATATATCCTATACCTCCCTTATTTCCAACCGGCTTGCCTATTCCTAGAAGATTATCTAGCTTTATCGAATCACTAGTAAAGGCAAGAAGTTGAG